TGCCTTTGAGTCTGCATCTGTGTCTCTGTCTGTCTATGGTGTCACCCCGTCTGTTTGTGAAGCTGTCTGTTTAGTTCTGTGTCTTGTTTGGTTCCCCATGTTTGAGTTTCCTGCTTTATTGTGAAGGTCTCTGTCTGATGTGAGTGTGTTCAGTTTACATTTCCCCTGTCCCATCAGCTCTGATTCCTCCCAGCCGTCTTGCCCTCCTGTCTCTCATCCCCTGATTACTGGTGTGTGTATTTAAGCCCTGTGTGTTCTCCTGCCTGTTGCTGGTTTGTCTGTGGTCCACGGTGTCCTGTCCCTCGTCTGTGTCGCTCTGCCTCTCTGCCTCTCACCCCATTCTGGTACCCTCTCAGGTTTGTCATTTAGCTTTCCCAGTTTAGGTCTTTAGTTTTGTCTTCCCTCTTGTCTGTTTTGCCATCTCCCCACTGTGTAAATAAAACATCACCAGCATTATCATCCACTGCCTGCGTTTTGGGTCCTTTCTCCCTTCATACCACACGGCTCGCCTCGGCAGTCGTGACATTTGATCTGCCGACTTTTTATATTTCGCCTTACTAAATCTTAGCTTGCATTCATACTAACTAATCGAGAATTGGGTAAATGTTGTCCCTTCATAACACTAATATACTACCATTATCATTGCAAGCATTATTATAAAACTATCACTGTAAGCAGCACTGCTAACATGCAAATCAAGTTGAACTTGTCACCTCAGTCACCTATGTCACCTCAGGATGTGTGTACTAGATGTTAGCACGCTAGCAAGTGCAGCCTCGCATTACCAACAGCATGGCTGACAATTAATCATGTTTGGGCATTCTGCCAACTTCTAGAGAATTAGCATGAATAAGCAACCAAATCAAGTCACTGCAGCAGTGTGAATTATCACTGTGTGAGTAAAGGTTGTCTCACAGGACGCTCCCCTGTGCAGGATGTTTTTAAACTGTAGACACACGCCAAAAAGGCGTGTGAGACAACACTATGTACAAACCAGCTACTTGAGAGGATGATGAAATAAAAGCTAATTCAGTTTTCACTTTTATACGTTTATTTATGATTGGAAAATTATTAATTTTCTTTTTTGCTTTTCTAAAGGATGCAACAGCAGTGCAGTGGTTGCAATTGCTGCTTCAGACCAAATGAGTTCTTGGTCTGAGGCAAGAACTCCTGTGTGGAGTTTGGATGTTCTCGCTCTGCCTGCATGCGTTCTCTCCAGGTGAATGGTGGTGATGTCTTTTGTTGGCCCAGAATGGCAGCCTGATGTAAGTCACTTCTTGCCATATCTCCTCTCCTTGTCCGCAACTGGTCACAGCAGATAGCTATCCTTACCACTGTCACCAAGCACTTGTTCTTAAGGGTCATCTGATTGTTGGGATTTCCTCTGGTTTCTCTGTATTATTGTAGGGTATTTACAATATAAAGTACCTTGAGGCCACTGTTGTTGTGATTGCAGATCTGCTGGGATTTGCCCACACAACCGTCTCCATGTTTAACAGAAAATGGTCAGAAAAAGAGAAAATATCAAATGAGCAGCAGTTTTCTGGGTGAAAAGGCTTTGTTGATGCCAGAGGTCAGAGGAGAATGGTCAGACTGCATTGTGCTGGTAGGAAGGTGGTAGTGACTCAAATAATGACAACCAAGGTATGCACAACAGCATCTCTGAACACACTGCTTATAAAGACTTGAAGCAGATGGGTCACAGCGGCAGAAGACCACACTGGCCACCACTCATATCAGCTAAGGCTGCAATCCACACTGGCAGACCAAATTTGGTCAACAGGAGGTTGGTATGGTAGTGTCAAATTTTGGCATGAACAATCCATCCACCAGTATCAGGCTACTGATGGCTGATGGGTACTTCTAGCAGGATAATACTAGTGTCATAAAACTCAGATCATCTCAAACTGGTTGTTGTACATGACGATGAGTTCACAGTCACCATATCGTAGATGTGATCGAACGGGATATTCACATTATTGATGTGCAGCAGACAAATCTGCAGCAACTTTGTGATGTTATCATGTAAACACGGAGCAAATTCTAAATTAAATAAAGTGACCAGTAAGAGTATTCATTGTCGTTCTATGGTTGTCACAACAATTTTTGTTAAATAAAAGAACAAAAGGTGTGAATGCAGTGTTGCTCAGTTCCATTTGAATGCATGTGTACATGTGAACGTGTGTGGAGCCATAGTGTAAATTGCTGATGGGTGTGTTCCTGGCTCCAGCTAAGAGGAATGTGAGGTGTGGTTGCCAGCGTTGCCCAACACAAAGTAGCTCGGCGTTCAGTGGGACCTCTATGGCAACCACAGGCTGTTTAACCAACACTCAGTCGTCTCTTCTTTACAGGAGACTCTAGGTTTATGTGTAGGTGTGCCACAGTGTTTTCACACTGCAGGAAAATAATGTGATCTCTTGGAAAGACTTTACTCACTGTTCCTCACAGGCTGAGATCAAAGCTTAGATTTATGTGTTCAGATTTTATAGTGACTATGCAACCATTTCTTGCCAACAGGACATCCCCATTCAAAAAATATGCTGTGCTTATTCTTCCTCTTCTTTGATGTTTCAGCTTTGCTGTGCAGCATGGTGTGTAGGGTTTTTCAAATTCAGCCTTGGAAAGAGAAACTTCCAGTATATTTAAACAAAGACTGTATATAAAAGATGGGTGTAGCCACTATGATGTCACCTGTTTGGTTTCTAGAATCTGTGTTTTGAATGCTTTGTTTGAGTGTTTTGGCCACTGCCATCTGTTGTGTGTTTGTGTGTGTGTGTGTGGCTGTAGTTCAAGAGGCAGAGAAAATCCTCTGCTAATTGGAAGGTTAGTGGTTCCTTGGCTGCTCTATTCTGCATAACCTTGGGCAAGATACTAACCCCAAGTTGTTCTCTGATGTGTCAATTGGAGTATGAATGTGTGTGAAAGTTAGATGGAAAGCACTCAAGCATAGAAACAAGTGTTTGTGTGAAGGGGGGAATGAGGCATGTTGTATAAAGTGCCTTGAGTGCTCATGCAGAGTAGAAAACCACTATATAGAAGCCAGTCCGTTTACTAATAGCATTTTTTGTCCAATATTTGAACAAAACTGTAACTGTACCAGCACCAACTTTCAACAACAAGGACATGTATACAGTGGTGAGGTGTGTGGTGGGATTACATCAGCTCTTCTTGTTTGCAGTGGTGATGCACAGATTGACAGATGAGGTCAGGCAGAAGTCTCTGTGGATTATGCTGTTTGCAGACGACATTGTGATGTGTAGTGAGAGTAGAAAGCAGGTGGAAGAGAGCCTGGAGAGGTGGAGGTATGCAATGGAGAGAAGAGGAATGAATGTCTGTGAATGAGACGGAGACAGGTCGAAAGGTGAACACACAAGGGGTAACGATAGTGGAGATAGATACCATCCAAAGCAACAGAGGTGAAGAAGAAGTGAAGGGGGACATGCAGTCTGGGTGTGACAGAAGTGTATGGTAGATGGAGGTGGGATAGGGTGAGATGGAGCAGATGATCTTCTGTGGTGATTCTTAAAGGAAGCATCCAAAAGAAGCTGATGATTTGGACGAAACACTGGAGCGATAACTAATCAGTGCTAGCAACACTGTGTAGCTAGCTGACAGATGCAATCCACAGGAATACATGTCAGATAATAAATACCAAAATTTCACTCATCAAACGAAAGACTTTTTGGGTGATCTGTGCTTCATAACAGCTTGTGTTGGTAGTGTAAATGGTAAATGGACTGGTTCTTTTCTTCTCTACTGGAGCACTCAAAGCGCTTTAAAAATATGTATTTGTAAATATGTATTTTGATATAACAGAAAATTTTGTTGTACCAGGCCATAAAAATGCACTTCAGCATGGGGCCAGCCTAAAGTGGTCACGCTGTCTCTAAGGTTGTTTTTCCAACTGGTGTATTTACATCAATGCAGATTACCAACTATATTGCAGAGACTCCTCTTCTAATAGGACATCCCCATAAATCATTAATACAAGCATTGGGACAGTAGGAGGAGATTATAGTGACATAAAAGCTGCTGATGGAATGGGTCAACAAAAACACTATCCTTACATAGCATTGTTACCTATTGCAAAGTGATTTAAAACTTTAAACCAGTGACCAGAACTAACTTCAATAGAGAAAACACCAGAAAGCTGGTTTAGAGGTAAAATAATATGCTGTAGCATGACATAAGGGACTGCACTTTGGCTTTGCGCTGGGCATTTCTTGTCAGGGAAAGGTAAGAATTTAAATGCTTTACAAATGCACATTAGACCACCTACCATAAAAAGAAGAAAACACAAATATTTTAGAAATCTGACAAAAACTTGTTTAAAATGAGAAATTATAATTGCTATTTGTCAGGCAAATAACAAACTGAATTCATGTTTTTCAACCCAAATCCTGACTTCTCTGAATCAGTGAAAAATTATTTGAGCATAAGACTCAATCACTAAAATCTTCTTTCCTTTTTTTCAAACAGTGAATTGGAAAATGAATGAATGGCAGCAAAAATTATATTAAAGCATTAAAAATATTATCTCAGTTAAAGAGCTTGTACATACTGGTGGACACACAATTACAAAAATCATTCTGGTAATTACCAATACTGTTCATTTATAAACTTTACAGCTGACTGGATGGTGGTCTTATGATTTTGTTTAGCATTGTATGTAAGGAACTAAGATATATACATATATATGTCACCTAATGTCATCAGAGGGAGAAGGTGGTAACCACAATGTCCCCAGGGAAGGAAACATTCCTGAAATAGTTGCAAAAGCTGCCCATGGTGCACTGCATTTCCCAAAATGGTGTCAAAGACAGAGAGTGAGTTCGTTCTCATGCCTCTCAAAAATGTTCTCGTGGATTTCTGCCAGAGAATGTAACGTTTAACCAGCTCAAACCTTCGCTCCTCCCTTCCCGGGCGACTTTGCGTGAGTCAGCTGGGCTCATTACGCACGTTCCGGTGTGCGGCAGGTGTAACTCTGGCCACACCCACAAGGAAACTCCTGTCAGGCAGACTCAGCAGGCTGTCAGTCGGCATCAGAGCACCGCAGAAAGGAGGAGGAACAGGTAAGAAGCTCATAATTTACCAGGAACACTTGTTGGAGTTTAATGGGAGCGCTTTGGTACAGCTTTTTTTGCTGACACTGATTCCGGGTGAGAAATGCGCTGCTTTCACTTAAGAGAGTTCACGGCTATCTTCCTCAAACTGGATCGCAGAAAAACTAGTCTTTTTTTAAGGATAGGGCTGAGGAACAGATAATCCAGCTGATGCAGGGAAGCACAGAGACTGCTTCAGGTCAAAACTGTGCGCAAAAATAGTTAAGCTAAACTTTTAAAGTTTAGCCTGCGGCAAATGGAGATGCAGGCTTTCATACATTCAGCCAAAGTACATAGTAACATTCCGAATGATTGATTTAGCATGTAGATCTTCAAATAATGAATCTTGAGACAGGCATTGTAAACGGAGAGAAGGTACCGTACAGTTTGATAATCCAATTTCCAATCCAATTTTATTTATAAAGCACTTTAAAATACCCAGCACAGGACCAAAGTGCTGTACAGAAAATAAGTTAAAAACAATAGAATAAAAGAAAACAGCACAAATGAATCAATATAACACATAATACATAAAAATTAAAATAGCCCTATATTAAAAAAGAAAACAAGATAAAACAGCACAGAATCAACTAAAAACAACTAAAATAAAAATAAATAAATAAAAACCAACATCTCATGTGGTGTCAAAGGCCAGGGTAAAGAGCTGCTTTTTCAGGAGTGACTTAAAAACGGGTAGGGAAGACTGTTAAGAATAGGCAATTAATATGGTGATTGAAGAACTATGAAGTAGGATTAAAGCTACTGTTGTTCCAGGAGCATTATGTAAGAGCTGTTCGGAGTTATCAGCATTAGTGTGATAATGTTACCAGAAATCAATAGTCCTCAACTTTTGTGGCCCCCCTTACTGCAGTCTGTGTTTGAGCTTGAGTGCTTTTCATGGTGCTGGTATGCAGGTACCTGTAGTGTATTAATACTGTGGAGAAACGTGTCAGTAATGGAGATACTTAAAAAAAAAATTTTTTCAATACAATATTAAATACTTTAAATTTGATTATAGAATGAAATATAAAGTGCAACATAGTGCAATTGTGTAGCATCGTATTATACAAAGTCAGCGTGGACTCAAAAGTGGTTACTACAGGCTTGTCCTTGCTTTGTATCATGTTAATGAAACAACCTAAAATTAGGCGCTGGGCTCATTCTCACTGTTGAGCTACATTACACATTTCAGTGTTGAAAAACTTGACTGACATGCAAAGAGCCTTGACCTCGGTCTTTTCCAACACCTTCAGGATGAACTGGAAAATCATGTGGAAACCTTTTAGGAGTCTGAGCTAGAGGAGCATTTAGTGTCTGTGGCTTTGGAATGACAGATTCAGTTTTCATGTGTATTGTGGGTGTGCTGTGTGCAGTTTGTGTCTACATACTTATAGCCAGAAAGTATAGTGTGAGGAGTTTATACTACCTTCCATGAAATCTCAATGTTGTAAAGTGGCATGAAAATATACGTTTTACAGTTTCTTATCCACCATAATAGTGACTTTAAGCTTACGTCTCTGCAAGATCAAACTCGTGTCAGGCATTGACAATAAAATTCCTTTTTCTTTTTTTAATACTGATGATATCTAACAGTTTTCATTTTCTCAAGAGTACTCTGCCCCCTGATAAGAGGCAAACAGAGATGAGATGTTATCTTTATTTCAGCTGGGTGGAGGGCGCTATGTGAACTTTTACTGACTCCACGTGGAGCTGCTGTGTTACTTAACACTTAATTAGTAATAGTCACAACAACAATAACAACACCTAACCAAACCATGCTGTTCTTAACTGGGTCTCTACCCCTGCATGCCTGTTTGGTTGAAGAATTAAGTTGGGCGACTGATTACAAGCTGTGATTGTTTGTGTGGGTGTGTTTATGTGCGTGTGTGTAATCACAGTAAAGCACAGTCCTGGAGACACCAACAGTAGTGAGAACTATGGCAGTTTTAAGCCAGAAGATACAACAGGCTAGAGAGAGCAGTGGTTGTTAGGCTAGTTCTTCTGTGAAATAGTCGCCACAAATCGATATTATTTTATCACATTAACAATAATTAAAGGAATAAGTGAGTTCCTATAGCCATTGTGAGCTTATATCTTTGTATTTTTTTTCTAGTTTCTTTTGTTTTTAGCTTGCAGGCCAGCGAGCGTGTTGCTACGCAGCTACTTTTGCAGTCTTGACAGCTAGCTTAAGAAGCAGGGATATTAGTTATACATGAGTTGCTTTAAAGGGTGACGTCAAGCACATACAATTAATTATTATATTTCTGAAAGTTCTGTTTTCTCACATATGTTGCAAAATGTAGAAAATGTCAGCCTCACAGAGATGTGCTAGCAGGCTAAAATGAAGTCAGCTTTACGCAGTTATGTGTTAAATATCGGTGTTGTTGTCCTGTGTTCAGAATGTAAAATGTGCTTTCTAAAGCTGGTTTTTCACAATTGTCTAAGGAAAATTGCAGTCATTCATGTGTAAATGTTTTCTTGGCTTAAGAATGCAGAAACTATTGCCAGCTGTTAGCATTACTGATTTTCTTGCTTAGCTAAAGTATCTTTGTATTAGTCCACTTTCCATGTCTTTATCTTTCATTCCATCTTTTTCTGTTCTGATCACCCTCATCTCCTACACAGCTGTGCTTTTTCGTTCACTGTTATCTAACATATTTTTTACTGTTACTCTCAATTTTGCACTATTTTACTCTTGACTCTTCAGTTTTTAGTGTGTGTGTATATATGTTTTTTTGTTTTTTATTTTCTTTATTTTACTTACACTGTGTAAATGATGACTTGGATTTTCTTGCATGCCAGAAGTTAAGCTTTTTAGTTTTGTTGTATTTAGTACTCTAGTATATGTTACATTATTTTTTGTACATGCTTAAAAAGCTGCCAAAGCTTTTAGCTTACACTATAT